TCAAATGCCTCCTTTGGTTCGGGAATTAGTCTGCCAACAATAGAACACGAAAAAAAAGAAGGGGGAGGGGGCGATATACTGGGTGTTGGTGACAGTGAATTGCCCTTTTCAGGTCTTTTTGGTCATCTTAATGCCACTCCAGGAAAGGTACAGAGGTGCCTAGAAGTCCTATGGGGACTCCATGCTCCCTTTTAGATTTCCACATCACACTGACAGTGCCTGAAAGGCTTGGTTGGTGCTTTACAGGTATTCCGAGCATCAAATTGAAAAATTTTTATACTCGCAATGATGTGATTGTTGCACTAATGTGCTTGTCCTGCTACGTCCTGCTGAATTTTGTCGGGCTTAGGTATTTGTGCCAACATTGCACCAAATGTTCATTTGACATCATTAGTACTTCAACTGTAATAGCTGGATCGTTACGGTTGGCTTGTGCGAATTATCAAAACTTTTGATTGCCTTACGTAACATACTATTTGATTTTATTCCTGCACCGAACGCTGATAGTACTCGGAAGTTTCGTGGTCTGATCTGGCGACTTAGGTAGTTTCGATGAGTGCGCTTTTCGTAGAGTGCTGGTGTACACTCACGGATGACATGAAAAAGCCCAAGTGAGCACATAGCTCTGAAAACCACCAGTGATACTATCTTACGGAAGAATACCGAGGCTATTTTGTGAACAAGCGGAAGCTTAGTGGCTGTTAGACTTTCGTCATTACTCCCCGCTTGTCCGGCAAACAGTTGCCGACTCAATACTGATAGTGGTAGTGCTCAATGAAATAATATAAAAATCACTTATCATCATTTATCCTGTGAACTTGCCATTAGACATCCAAAAACTGATTGCTCAGCCGGCCAACTCAAACCCCGTGGTCTCGGCCAAGCTTGATTTTGCCTTTAGTCACGGAACACCTTTGTATTTGGCGAAGTGGGAAGTGATGACAAAAACTGGATAGCCGCTGAAACCTCAATAATGGTCCAGTTCTCTTCTGACAGATAGCATGACCGGCCCTATATGCCACACAGTCCGGGCTTTTTTCATGCTGTCTGCGCCTGATGCAGCAAAGTGACAACCGCAAGGCAGGCACCGTGATTTTGTGTGTTTTCCTTTACCGCAGCGCTCCCTAGTGCTAAGGGGAAAACTTACCCCCATGGTGGAACATCACGCATGCAAGGGTCGGGTACATTAAAAAAAAAAAAAAAAGAAGTGGTGAGTGTCCATGTAATAACTCCACCTTGCTGTCAAAGCTTCTGAATGAAATTGGCTAATGTATAGGATATAGCCCGCAATATACTGATCATATCTTTTTTCAGATTCGAGATTTAAGGATACTACTTGGGTATTACGGGAAGATTTATGTGGATTGCTTTACTGGTTTTGTATTATAAACTATCGGCTCTCTTATTTAGTTGTCACTTTTATATAGGATCCATCTGTTCGATGACAAAGTCCATAGAGTAAGTTAGAACTGGATCAGCTGGAGCAGTGGATGGAAGTTTGGGAATAGCCTTAACGCATTTGGCTGGGTTGTTTGTATGCATATTTTTCGTTCACATACCGATTTTTGTTATTACATCCTAGATTTAAAATGTCAATAATGTTTAGAGTATACAAAAGCTTTGTTTTTTTATTGCAATTAAAAATGGCAGTTTTATTATAATCTTAAAAGCTTAAGCAAAACATCAACTCAGGTGCTATTTGGTGTACCTTTAATCCCATCCCTGAAATAATCATTCCCAACAGTTGATACTATCCATTCATAAGCACCTCGCTGCCATGCCTGATGTTTGTATGCACAACTAAACAACTAATTCTGTGTTTGAGGGGCAACAAACCTGCGATGCAATTGATGCCAATGGTTGCATAGAGGTGGGAAGTTCAAAGTAGACATTGTCTTTTCGTTGGATAGCATAACACACAAATCTTAATAATTGCAGTGGTATGAATGAAAATGAAGTGTGCTTTTTTGCTCAAAAGTTCCTTTTGCTGCTCCAAAGGGGACTTTTGGCTGCTCCAAGAGATGTTTTAAAATGGCTTGGACCAATTGCATCACTGCATTTGTGCTCTTGGAAGCCAAATGAATACAATTCGAGTCTTTTTCTCGAGTAAAGGACCACTCCAGTTTTCCAGCACACAATAAGATATCAAGAGAGTGCACCGTGACAACTGTAGTTACAGAGACTCGCAGTCCAACGTTTCAGTCCTCTTTGGTATTTAATCTGCGTCAGAAGCAGCGGTCTCTGAATTGGCATAGACACCTGTTGTGATGAATATTACCACAGAGCCAAATCCTGCCATAGATTGCCGTTTAGAAACTGCCACTTTTTTGCGTTTTGCATTCTTTGTGCAGTACTATTGAAGTTACAGGTATCCAAGTGCAGACGCACAAAATACCTTATTCGCTCGAGCACTCGCAGAAGAAAGGTACTTTTGAGGTCTTACTATTGTACCCATTGATTCCGCAACCATTCATAGAACTCTCCGAATTGAGTGCAGAACATTTTCATAGCAGTCAATATAAGGTTTTCTTTAATGTTTTTGTCAGTGTTAGCTGAACTTAATACAAAAGCGATTCCTTCCAACAAGCTCAGTTTGTAAGCAATTGTGCAGTAGTCCCCAAAATTTGGTGCCACCATGCAGCCACCATATTTGGCAGAGGAGCTCTGTCCTAATGGCTATTGGTTGAACTGCCTGGTCCCTGGATACTTTAATTCAGGGGTGCACAACATGCGGCCCGCGGGCCGCATCTGGCTCGCAGGCACTTCCTGTGCGGCTCGCGAACATGACACAGCAAAATGTACGCAAAACGGCAACCAGTGCGAAGATGTCAGATATTGAAAACCTGTCTGCCAGTTATTAAAAACCTGCATAGTTGCCAATGAACATTTTTTTTGGCCTGCGTCATTTCCGAGTTGTGCAGCCCTGCTTTAATTGCTAGCTGCTAAGACAACTTTCCTTCCCCACAACCAGATGGTGGAGTGGTAGGCTAGGGGCGCAGTATACCCACCCCCTTTTCTTCAGATCCTGCCTTACTTTCCTGAAAGAAGTAAGCTATTTGATAACAGGCAAGCATATTCACCCTGAAATGAGAGAAAACTGCTTGTGCCAATGTCTTCTTTTGTCCGTCTTCATTTGCTTTGAGGCTATTATGTCTTGTCATTCTTGCTGCCTGTGAACCCTTCATACAGTATGTGTACTCCTTGCCCCATTGGGTACTTAATATTGCAGAGATACAATAGTAAGTGGACAGAGGGAAAGCTGTACTGTTCAACTTTGCACCGTTTTACGTTAAGTGCGTGTCATCCTTTCGTCGAGGAGGAAAGGAAAACAATTTAAATAAAAAAAAAAAAAAAGTTTTTTTCTTTTTTTTTTGTATGTGTTTGTGGATCCTTGTTACTTTGGAAGAGGTAATGGTCCTTTTGTTATATTTTGGGGGAGATTGCTGAGTTATCTTTGTGAATCGGCATGAAGGCCGTCCATAGCGCTAGTTTGGAATTACAGGGTTTGGCGTTTGGACTGTTTAGAGGTTGTCCCTTTGTGTTGGTAGTGACTGTCTGGAGGGTTTGGCGGTTGAACTGGTTAGAGTTGCCCCTTTGTGTTGGTGGTGGGCTGTTTGTGGACTATATAAGGAGGAGGACTGAATAAACCTGTTAGCTGAGTTTGAGACGTCGTCCTGTCCCCTTCTGTTTCTTCGACTTTTATGTTTTTCTACCCCAGTCTCAGGTATATTCAACATGGTTAATATTGCAAAACATGTTTTCTTTGTCAATATTACATTCTTTGATTGTGCTTAATGCTAGGCTCTTTGTGCACTACCTTATCACATCATAAGGAAGGTGGGAGGATAACACACACCTTCTCTCTGCACCACGGCAGGGCAAACTTGAACACACGGGCTTTGGAGGTATTTTTAGCATGCTATTTCACTCGCAATTTCTCATCATTAGCTCTCGAACCTCAACATGTGTGCAGTGCATCTCAAGCTTCAATTTGAACTGAACAATGGTGTGGGCAGAGGAGGACTGAACCCCCATGAAGGAAGTTCTTGGCTATACAACTGGAACTGAATGAAAGAGGATATTTTGATCACATTTTTTTCTGTGCCACTTGTGTGCGGTGAATTTATAAAAATCTAAACCTGCTGAACTATTATTACACACTACCTTGAAAATAAGATGATCTTTCAGTCATTGTTTTTGACATTCTTGTAGACGAGTATGTTTTCATTGACTGTTGTACCAAGCAGGCATGTAGCCAGGATTTTGTTTCTGGGGGGCCCCACCCATGACAAAATGCTGTATGAGGGAGAGGGGGACCCATGCAAAATGGGAGAATTCGTGGGGGGCCCGGGCCCCATGGGCCTCCCCCCTGGCTACGTGCCTGGTACCAATGTGTATGGCTGTCGCCCAGAGAAATGCAACCAACTGACCTTTATTTCGGGCAATCAACCACATTTAGTATATTATGTCTCATAACAGGCCTTTTTAACTCGCGCACCATGAAGATAAAATTAGTTGAGTAAACCAACCTAAACCCTACAGACTGGTCATCATATATTGTGTTCAGGTATATTGTTAATTAAAGGGAAGATGGGGCACTTCTACATTTGAGAAAAAACGCTTGAATTGCGTTCATTTGGCCTTTAGATTAACAGATATCAAAATTGTATTTCAATGCGACCCGTCGGAGAGCCATACGAGCAATTTCAATATAGGAGTGAAGCCCCGCCTCCCTAGCCTTGGGCAGCCAAAAGAGCCGTCGATGACGTCACGGACAGCGACTGTCTTTCGCGTTTTTCTCGCGTTTAACAATACTTACGCAGCAAATGGATTGGGTATTCGGGTTCACGGGATAAAAATGCACTAGAATTCACTTCTAACTCATTTTTTCCAAGAAGCTCCGTAGCTTCCCTTTAAGTAATACAAGGACAAAAGGACACTTGGAAGAAGTATGTCAAGATTCAACATTGGCACAGGTAAGGGAAACTTCATAAACCAAATAAAAACATGAAAAAATTTATTCACATTGCCTCGAGTATTTGAGCTTGCTCCACAGAAGAATGAACAGGCTGGTTATGCAAAGCGCACCTTCCCGACACAGTTTGCCATCAATTTTCATAGTCCTACTATTTTGCATATTTATTGGCTTCGGCAACTTCAGTCCCCGCATCTCCACAGTTCAAAAAGTCACAACGAGATGGACTAGCTGGTCAACCTTTGTCTCCACTGAAATGTCGAGACGTTCAAAGACTTGAGCGCGCGCTGCACTTGAGGGACTACCGTGCACCGCGGCTTTATCTGTACTTGGAGGGCGGCACCTTCTCCTGAAGGACCATACCCATTGAGTCGGAGTCCGTATCACCGTCTTGTTCGTCCCTGTCCGTGAGCTGCTCAGCAAGTCGGAGAAAGGGTGACTCGAAGAGCAGGTGTATGGGCACTGCTGCCATCAGGCTGGTCAGGAGGTTCCACAAGATCTCCTCCGCCTGCAGCAGAAACAAAAGCATTGCCAGGAGCTGTGCGACCTTGAGCGCCTTCCCACGTAGCATCCAATGTCGTGCGAACATTCCCTGGGTGTTCTGAATGTTCGGAACATTCTAGGAACGTTCGTGTGCGAACATTCCTTACAAGGTAAACTGCTCAACATTTTAGAAACGTTCGTTGGCGAACATTCGTATGCACAATGTTCTCGGAACGTTCCCCTTTGAACATTCATATGTGCAACATTCTTGGAACGTTCGCTTGCGAACATTCCTAGAATTTTCGAAGGTGAAGCCAACTTTACGGAGCTTTCAAGCAACCTGTGTTTCGAAACACCATCCACTATATGCCACCTTGTGCCAAAAATATGCAAATTAAGTGGAGGTTCTGGAAACATAGCATAAGGGATCAGTTTTATCTTATACGAGTCTACGGAGGAATGTGAGATAAGGTGTAGAAGAAAAGCAATGGTCTTCAAAATTTGATAATGAGCTTGGCACTCACTGTGTATGTAGAGGGGCAGTTTTGAATAGACCCGATTTTTAGCATCTTGGATTCACCTTGAAGAAGGTATGTCCTGCTTGAGCGTGGGATGCTGTAGGTATCTGTTCTTATGCTCGGAGTGAGTAATTGGTTATGTATGCAGCACGTTTTGATAAGTAGGAGTAAACTGCCGTTATAGTACAGGCTCTGGCTAATGCGCTGGAAAAGCGGCTAGTTTGTGCTAGGCCTGGAAAAAATATATTTTGATTAAAAAATATTGATTGCTCTGTGAGAAGATTTATTATATCAATATATGTAGTACGGGCTCAGTGGGGCTGTAAGCTAAGCAAGCCATAATTGTGGAATCTTTGTAAACATTCCTCAGAGAATGTTGCAGATGTTCTTTGGATGTCTCGGGAACGTCTTAAAACCTTGTTAGAATGGTGATTAAATGTTCTGTCGTGCTCAGAACGGTCTAAAAATATCCCTTAGAAAACATTCCCCGAATGTAGCGGTAAGTGCCTGCGCCACATTCTGACAACGTCGATAGAATGTTCTTACGTAAATTTGCAACATTCAGAGAATGTTGCAGAAGTTCTTTGGATGTACTGAGAACATTCTTAGAACCTTGTTAGGATGTTTCAATGTTGATTGAATGACCTGGTAATGTTCTATGTGGTTCTCGGAACGTTCTAAGAATATCCCTTTGAAGACATTCCCCGAATGTAGCGATAAGTGCCTGCGCCACATTCTGACAACGTTGATGGAATGTTCTTACGTAAATCTTCAACATTCCAGGAATGTTGTCTATGTTATTTTGAACATTCCCGGAATGTTCTCAGAACATCCTCGTGCTACGTGGGTTGAATTTTGACAAGGCAACAGGTGGCAGGGAGCGGCTTCAGAGCCTCCAGAGCGAGCGTTCTGCCTTCGACAACGCTTGGGCATCTCATGCAGCCAAAGCACACCGAAAGGCATGGAGTACGTGCTGGAGGCCGGCCCTTCAAAAGACGTGCCCTGCTGTTCTCATTCTGACACTGATTATGGCACCAACCAGAATCCTTTGTATAACTTCTGTTGCACAAAAGTACAAGTTTTGAGCATGCACCAAATTGGGCCTTACTTCTGATCTATCACAAGGTACCACCATCCTGATTTCATGCTGTGTTTAAGCCAGGGGGTGGTGGTTATAGCCGATTCACACGACGGACCGCCTTGTCCGTGGACAAAATTCTGTCAGTAAAGTAAAGTTGATAAAGTTGAGTGCCTTTTCACTTGCGGATTTTTGGTGGGAGATTGACTTGGAAAAGCGTTTAGGTAGTCAGGCAACGGTACAATGTTTTCTTGTGTTTTTTTTCTTTGGATGATTAACACAAAAATGGTGCATCATTGTGTTTTGTGCGCTCACTGGTTCATTTTGTCGCATGATTCTTGGTTCCACGCATGAAAGAAAGTGGAGAAACTGTCCGGTTGACGCGACACAGATTCCGGTACTCCTCCAAGTCCATGTCAACAAGCTTCCATCCAAACTCGTCTAGCACGCCACAATAATTCTTGTACGTCCAATCATCCTTTCACCAAGCAAGACCTTCTTTGTGGCTGTGGTGTACTTGAGTGTTGTGCATGAGTGCAGAGTGCATGAAGGCATCTCAAAATGCCATTCCGCAAGCCCAGAACTTTGCCGCTTCTATGCAGGAGCCTTCTTGAGCAGGACCATGGCTGTGTCACTGTCATGCCTTGGGTTAGTAAAGCTAGTGGCGCTTTGCGCGACGCTTATCACGGTATTATGTCTCTATCCGTACGTAACAATGGCATACGATTCTTTATCGCGGTAGAAAACGTCAATTTCTCTGTTGGACAACGATGCCACGGTGCAATGTAGGAGTTTTGCGGCACTGTGGGGTGGCGATCAGGTTCGGTCCATCCTCGCTGCCGTCTGCTCGTCGTCTCCCTCATGTGGGTGCTCTTGGGAGACGGACGAACCGTGGACATGTCGTCCCGTGATCAACCCATCCGCGGGTCAGTTTGTCGTGTGAATCGGCCATTAAGGGGCTTTGAACTACTGTTGGTACTAAATATTAGAAAGCAATTTAGCTCGAATAATATTTGTTGTATGAATATGTAGGCAGTGGGAACTTGGTCTGCCTCAGCTGGCCTCTGTAGTCTTCTCGTTAATAGGCAGTTTGGTCAGTTTGGTGTGGCTGCTAACCTGGGGTCTTTAACAGGCATCATGCTGTAGCGATTAAATCGTACCTGAATGAACAGTGAAGCTATATGACCTATTACGGATGCTGTCTAGGATATATAAATCGGAAGTCCATAAAAGTATTTACTTGTTTTTCAAATCAAGACCAGCATCAGGTTATGAAGGATACCATACTTTAGTGAAAAATGAAGTGTCAGCTGTCATCAATCTAGTTCAGCATTCCAGTGTAGCACTCTATAATCTGCCACTTGGAGCAGGTTCTGAAGGCAATTTGTGTCAATCTTGGATGCCTAAAAATAAATGAAAAGAACTATTGCGACATGCTCACCGCTAGCTTCACTGTGTAGAAAATGGTGCCCCTTGTGGTGCCATTGAAGTAGAAGATGAGGAACGGGTTCAGGATGTAGACTGCAAAGCAGAGCTTGCTGATGGGTAGCCAGCCAGACCAGCTCAGAAAGGCATTGATCACACCTGCAGAAAGGTGCAGAAAGGCAGTTTCAGTATAATTCCTGGAGGTCAGAAATATAATTTGATGGGGACAGTCTCCAATGTGCATATAGAAAGTAATTGAGTGCAATTGGCACATTAAAACTAGCTGTGAGAGCGTGGCCAAGTGATACAGCTTCCAAACCTTTATTGATATTTAAAGGTTTGGATTTTTATATTTTTAGTTAATATTTTTATTTAGTGCACTCGCATCAATAAGCTGTAATTTGATTGCTTATGCTGATGATGCGATGTTCGCTTGGTGTATATGAAAAAGCACCATGCAACATGGTGCCATGGTTTTTGTGAGCAGATGGCCACTTGTTACAGCACATTGATATTGGACTAGCATAACATTTTTTTACCTTAAAGGGACACTGACAGGGTGTTTATGCTCGCCGAGGTTTTTAGTTGTACATGCCATATGAGAGCCCAACTGCCCAGAACACAACTTGCGACTTGAAATTCGGTTTCTTTCCGCCCGAAAACCGCCGATCAAGAACTGGCCGATTCGAGTCTCGCTCACTCTCTTTTCCGTGGTCACGGGCCGTTTTCTAAGGTATTGAAGCGACCACCAAATTTAATCAAGGTCGTTGGTCACTGAAGGCAGACACTCAATATTAAAAATAGAAAAAAACATGAAACCCATTTTTTGTGGCTTCTAAAAAGCTGCAAATACGTTGATTGAAAAAAAAGTTGCGCAGAGAACCGGAAGCATTCTGCGCGTGTGTCGTTACGCGTAGAGCACTATATAGCTCCTTCGGAGCAGAGTAGCACAACCTAGAACGCCGTCTGTCGGCGACTAGCGGCGAACGCCCGGAGGTTCCAACTGCGGTCAGAAATGCATGGAGAACGTGAGAAAATCGTTGTTTCTTCAGTTTTGGGGGGATGTACGGAATGGCAATCATTTTTGACAAAATAATGAAACATTTTAGAATAATTTGCGATAAGTTTTGTGCCATGCAAGGACGTAACTTTTTTTAAAAAATTGCCTGAGCGGCATCACGCAGCAGACGACACGGCGACGTCACACCATTCACGTGACCCGCTCCGGCCAACCCGAAAAGCCCATCTCCGCTGCGAGCAAAAATCGTCTGCTTCAAACGCCATTGCCCTGGAAATTGCCTTCTCAAAATTTGCACACGCATCCGATATTTTTAAAACTTTGATAAAGTGTTTAGCGCTTTACTAACTTCACGACAGGCTAGTTTTGAAAAGTGTGAACTCGCCGTTATTTTTTTAATCAGCCGTGTTATGTCGATCTCCATGTATTCTCCCATAGGGCGGGCCGCCTCTTGGAACCCTGAGTACCACGTGACTTGCGCCGAGCTGCTCTGTCGGCCATGTTGTCGGCAAAACACGGGGTTCAAAGGATTGCGCTACTCTGCTCCGTAGGAGTTACGCGTATCGTGGGGCTCGCGAGGACGGCGATGGCAGCGGATGACGGGCGATGGACCTCTACTTCAGAACTGTCGTTTGCGGTACCGGCGAAATCTGTCTGCCTTTAAAAAGAGAAATTTGGGACTGATCAAAAGAATTGGTATTCATCCCGTATGTCACGCCCGACCACCAAGCCGATTTGCACGAAGACGTCGCCGAGCCGTCGCTCCCTTCTCGTGGCTGAAGTCATCGCTCGCGCAAACGTCAAGCACGACGGGTCTACTTCGAGTTGAAAATGCATGCGTACGATTTCTTTACTATGTCGCCAATGCGTGGTGCTTCCCGATTTCGACCCGGGAGTGCTTTTGCTGGATTATTGGCAGCAAACTTTCCAACTTACAATTTACCGGCTGCATTGTTACTAGGGAAGAAAATCACCCTGCAAAAAGATGCCCCAGTAGCTCAGTGGGAAAGACCTTCGCTTCACATGCTCAAGGACCTAGTTCGATCCCCAAAGATTTTTTTTTTTTTTTCAAAATTTTTTTGATGTTTACTTTTTTTTATAATTATCACTGAAGAAGCAAACAAAAAAATAACAAACAAATGTTGTGGACGACACGCCGCTGAATTAAATGGTATGGGATCTCCTTTTTGACACCTGCGAACTCAATGTAATCACTTTCCACAAAATGCAAGGAGCATATAAATCGGGTAGCGTCCGCTTCCCGAGGTGCCCATAAATGTTCTACAGGAATTGCAGCCAGCCATTGGTCCCGATCCCGTTGATCTTTCGGAAACTCTGTCGCACAATGCCACTTTTTTTCGGACGCAGGACATGTGAGCCAGCTCTTCACGCAACATCTTGGGTGTATTCTTTTCGGAGCCGATCATGGAAATTCACCATGGGGACTCACTACTCATCTCCAAATCCTCAATGTACAAAACAACTCATCTTGGAGTACAGAACAGCGAGCGGAACAAACATAACTGCAAAAGAATCGCGCGGCAAACAGTTCCCACTACGCCGCATGTCGTCTGCTACAAAAAGGAGAAAAAAAAAAAAAAAAAAAAAAAAAAAAACGCACGGTCGGGTGTAACCACGTGACTTTCGCCACTCACTCTCTTCTCTCCACTTCTCCGACCTCCGTGCGCGTGTTTCGGTTTCGGTTTTGAGCAGTTGCGTCTTTTGGCTTTATTAAAAAAATACGCTACCCTGTTGCAAAATATTAATTGGGTAGTCCTCTGACACCATAATGAAACGCCTAGCAAAAAATGAAAAATAAAAAAAAAATTTGGGGGGTGTCAGTGTCCCTTTAATAGCGTTTGGCTTTTTCTTCAATATTCGTTCAGTTCCACAGTTTCTTGAGACTGGGGCTCTTCCTGGCAACACTTACCCCCACTGCCCCATGCACAGGCGACGGCCATGTAAGAGACGCCGGCCGAGAACAGGACCCTGTGGAAGGCGTCGTAGGCGGCGTACTTGCCGGCCCCAGGACTCATCTGTCGCCCTTCCTTGTTCCAGAACCAAGGCGTGTGCGTGATGGCCAAAATGGCCCCCAGGGCAATGAGCCAGCCGGAGAAGGCCACCCACTGAGGAAGTGAGAAGAAGACTGTATGCTCACTCCGAAAAAGAAATGAATGTACAGTTCTTCCGTAAAAGTGTCATAACAGCACACCGACAAAACGCTGTGTGTCAAAACAAGCACAGCGAAGAAACACCATTCATGTAGACTAATAAGAAACCTCCGGGAGGGAGAATATTTAAATTAATTTTTTGTAGTGATAAATTTGTTACGGAGGTTTAGAGGGTGTTGGCCTGCTTTAAGGTGGTGTCTGATAGTGGGGTCATTAAAATGGATCATGCATTAGTGATTGTATTACCGCACATTGATACAATGGTCGTCCAAATTGAAACCAACGGGTGTCGAGATTGAAACCAGTATGCCTGGGTTCTGCAGTGCTACCTTGCATTCATACTCTGAGCTGCGGTACGAAAACTCTCAGACCCCGATCTCTCTGCTTGTAGTGGTAGATGCCAAGTTAGTGAAGCTGAATTTCTAGTGTAATATGTTAATGTTTCATGTGAACCATAGACCACTTGCTGTTATTGAAACCATACGCTTTTGCTGCCGGACGTCATTTCTTTGAAGATAGTTTGATATCGCTACAAACAGACACTCTTTAGTTACCTATATTAGCCGTCACAGATAGATCTAAGCAGCAAACTCAACAAAGGGACTGTGTGCCATACTGTAACAGGCTAAGGATATGTTCTTGTTGGCAGTATGCCCTGTCAAGTCAGTATGGGCCTGATAGGGTAATGTTGGTGAAAGCTTTCTTATAACCAGGGCTCTGTGTTTTGAGTATATCTGGGTAAACTCCAAAAAGTAACCCGCGATTGTTTTTTAACGAAGTTGGGGAAAACCGAAAACCTTTGAAAAGGAGAATAAGGGAAAATCCAGCAGGAAGATATCTTTGTCTACAGCTTTATTTTGTGTTGACCCCAAAGACATTCCATAGTACCGTGGGCGAGTTACTTTCTTTAAGTACCATACCTCATTTCTTTCTCTCGTCGGTACCGGGACGTTTTTCGAGTAGCATATGGGTCATGCTAATGTTTTCAGGAAATTAAGGGATTTCATGTCCGTGTTTCATTTCTTTCGAAAAGCCTCGATAAACTCTGACTTTTTGTACCGCACTAAAAATTGCGTTCAGAAAACACCGAAGTTGAGAACAAAACATAAATGCCAAAAAAAAAAAAAAAATCAACCCCAGAATTTTGCAACCTTACTTATAACCAGCGATATCAGCAATATTGTGAGCATACTGACAATTAAAATACAATCGTAAGTATGAGACATCCATAGGAAAAGAAAGAGAGATACACTGGACAGGCTGTGAATAGCAACCAATATCTTATTAGAACAGAAACACGAAAAGTGATGCTGATGCTAGCGCAGGCATTAGCATGATGTCATGGGCGTACCAACCGAGGAGGCAGAAGGGGGTGCTTGCCCCATCAGTTCTCAGAGTGTGTGGGGGTGGGGGGAGGGGGGCAAGACATATGTTTTGCCCCCCCCCCCCTCCCCTTCCCTTAAAACACTTCAAACACTTCTTTCTTCAAATGTTAGAAAAGAAACACAAATTTGAAGCTGATGCTTGTGCAGGCACTGGCATGAGGCGATCTTCAAACTCTTCTTTTTACAGCTCAAGTACTAACCAAAATCCAATAAATTCAATTTGCTGTTTGTAATGGTTAGTGATGACTGGCTTATGCACATACTTTTGTTTTTCGTTATATGGTGGGTTTCAAGTATCTCCCGGCATAGGCATAGACTACGGGGGGCATCGGGCTCGTGCCCCCCGCTATTTACTTTATACTTTTTTGAGTTCCTTCTGTGAATACACAGAAGTCTTATCAGTTTATCGGTTTTGTTTCTGGAACAGGATGACATTTGAAAACAAAATAGAACGGTACCATATATGCATGAAATGAACCACTTCAGAGCCAAACTACAGGATAAGACTTTCCAGCAGCGAACTGTTTCCACACGAAAGAATAGAAACCAAGTTGTTTGTTGTCTCTCATAGTTGGCTGGATTTCACTTACCCTATTGAGTCGCATCTTGGGCCTGAGTGCAAGGACGTAACCGACGATCATACCGATGCAGAATGGGCCACCTCTCGTGTAGAAGTTAACAGCGATGGAGTCGTGGTAGGCTTGCCGAGACCTTGGAATGCAAGACAAGAGACACCCCCATTAGCCGCACTTATATTTGCCGACTGTGCTGCTGGAAATCTGGACTCATGGGAAGGTGCATGGTTTCACTGTCAGAAACTCAGAAATCGACCATTCTTTTTATTCATACAGAGACGAGCTTCGTAGACAGATTTAATCTGTAAGTCTGAGCCAACTTGAGGATTATGATTGTTAGCAGTCCCTTTTTTACTTCATGTACATCTTCAGTTGCATGAATCACGTTTTGCTTTATATTGCAAGGAAACTTTGGGAACTTTGCAAACTCCCTTGCAAAGATAAAAGGAATCTCTCTTTTTATTGCCTACTTTTCAGTTATCGACTGCTGCCTCAACAGTCGGAGTAACTTATTTGCATTAAAGTATCAGTGCATACTTTTTACCATTTGTATGATACATAGCTTGCACTTACAATAGCAGCAGCACACAAAATGATGTTTTTGTCTATTTATAATATGACACAAGTTATTCTACCATTCACCTGCTTCTTAATGAATCTGTTACATCCATGGCTTCTTGAACAATTTGCGTAGGCACGTGCCGGTGCCACTATGCGTCATTATTAAACCCTGATCTGAATATAAGCATAAATATTGGATGTTGAGCTAAAAAACATACCAAACGATCACACAAGGTGTGTTGCGATTGGCAGCGACAGCTGTTGTGTTGTTGAAAGATGTGCTTTATGAGATTCGCCTTTAACCGATGTGCTTTAGGATGTTTGCTTTAGGTGCTTTGCTTTTAGTCGATTAGTTGCAGGAGATGTGATTGAGACGTGTGTGAAAAGCGCTTACACACTGCCTCTCGTGCACGATAGTCGGTGTCTTGTGCTCTTTACTGCTCTTGTGCCGCTGCGGCCCTCTATCTACACTGCTCAGTGTGGCGTGCTTGCTTGGCAGTAGAAGCTTTCAGAATCCCAAAGCGAGAAAAACAGGAAGCGGTAACTGGCCGCACTGTCACCCTTTCTCCATCACCTTTGCCCCTTGTCTTGTGCGCATAGGAACTATCCCTCTTTCCCCACTATCATGTTGTTTTTGCATAGAAACAACACTGGAGTTTGCCCAAAAGCGGCACTACAGCTACCGCTATAAAAAAAAGGAGTCGCTGGAAATTTAGAAATATCAACTTTAAAAAAAAAACTGATTTTTAAGGGTGGTCAGTTTTAGCTCCGTTGAGTGCGCTTTCCTCGCAGCACGGGTGCAGTGCGACAAAACAACATTCGCAGCAATAGTGTTTTAGCTGCTCTGCTGCTTTTTACCAACGCAACAACGTGCCTAAAAAATAAAAAAAATTCTATACGAGCTTACGCATGCGAGTAGCTCTAGTTTAAATATTTTTCTACATTTTACATTCAATAATAACTATTTTTTCTTTAAGTTAAAAAGAAAACCAAATTTGTTACGAAGGCATATCGGAGATGCTCCGTTTTCCTATCATGACTACTCGTGCCACACGGGCAACTCAAATGCCATTTGCAACGAATGACATTCGCCCCAAATGGACGCCCTGCAAACGTGAGAAGCAGCAGTTAATCGGACTTTAATTTTTATTAATATTTTGCAATGTTTTGAAGCTGACTGGGCATTTTCACATGTTTTACTAAACCATATGGTTCTTGCATATGAACAGAGAAATGGAGAAATGTGGTGCTACCTGGGCTGCACGTGCAATAAAAAAAGACACTTAAGACTATTAACATGTAGAAATACGAAAGCATTCCTACATGCAGCGCATTCCTACAGGCACCGTGCCACGTCTCCCTTTTTCACATGGCGCTCCGGCGGTGACATCACGCTTCCCCACTAGGCGCGGCACCCGCGCCGGCTCCATGGCTTCTGTGACGATGCATCTGCATTGCTGTGCTTTTCTTTGTGTTTTATTTCTGAGGCGCACCCGCTTTGACCTTGAGCGCCTCGCCGGCTTTCGTGACGAGGCATCTGCGTTGCATGTCGCTTGGCCAATAGGAAGTGAAGTGCCAGTTGGCTCAGCCAATTTTAGGTGCCGTTTATCGCTGCTACAGACAATGCCGGCTTCGCTCCATGCGACAGTTAACGCTTTCGCATTAAAAATAGTTTAGAATCAAAAATTGCACACACCCACACAAAAATAATGGTTAATTGGGGTTAAAAACAAAGTAGTGTGTGTATTATGGTCGCAATGTATGCGCAAGCTAGAGCAAGTGTCGCAATTTGCGTCAACAAATCGAACGAGAAATACAACCCCCGTGGAAATTCTCGTAACTAAAATTCATACCCGCACAAAAAAAAAAAAAGAAAAAAAAAAAAAAGGGGCATTGTACTTTGGGAAAGACGGACGTAGTTTAGTTTCCCACTGTCCGAAGTAAACCTTATCTGGAGAAAGCTTTTTCCCCAGTTGTAGCAGTACTTGTCGGAGATAGACGGGTGGAGCGGCGGGTCGAGATTAGATAAGCACCTCGTTGCGAAATGCACAATGTGCGTCATGTCACCCAATGGTACCATTTCTTCTTTTTTTTTTTTTTTTTCTGTGCAGGTTGTTTTTGAGTTAGGAACAAATGAAAGGAAGGTTCTCACCCCGGCCTGTACTGTCGGAGCAGCGCAGTGGGCCCCAGGTCGTTGGCATTGTTGATGAGGAATGTGGTCAAGGAACAGGCGGCTATGACGACGCCCAGTCCCGCCAGGGCGAACTTGGGAAGCCTAGAGACCGTTGGGGTGATGGCGCTTAGTACACGACGAGAGATGCATGACGACATTGTAAAGTAGGCTCCCTGTTCACTCTTTGTGCGCGTCGTCATGAAGGCTTCGATAGAACATCAGGGACAGCGTAATATTAAGCGCAGCATTCAAGTAATAAAGAAGAGAGACCATGTTGAACACGAGACAGATTCAGGATGCTAGTTCTTAACTTGTTCGACAGACCGGTAAGGACCATCAAACAAAGGCATTCATACAATTGCCGGTGAAATACGTTTTCTTTTCTTTTTTTTGTATTAAACCGTTGTATTTATGTCTCCCTCTCTTTATCTGTTTATCAAATTTATTCCATTCTGCTTCTTTTCACATTTTAGCGAATTGTCACCATGCGCTGGTTTACCTCGTTGTTTGAGTACAGTATGCGATTGAATCAGTTCAGCAGCGCAAACTTTTCATTTAAAAAAAGTACGGTATTTTTTTTAGTGGAACCTTGCATACCAACCGCAGGCGCCGAGCGGTTGTGAATGCGAATGACAAACACGCACAGATTTGCTGATTGCGATTCTGCCTCAAGCAATGCACGTGATCGGAGAGGTACGTGCCACTCTTGGCGATGAGATATAGGCCGCAAGGGTGCCATTGTATTTGCTTCGCCAAGGAAAGACTTACAAGACGATGCTTACAGAAGACACGCGACTCTGTATATTTGGCTATTGATAATAAAAACAAGATCATACCATATTACGATATACTTATTTTGGCTTGCGAGAGCCGCGGCTCTATACACTAACTGAACTCTCTGAAAGCCACGTTGTTTCAGAGGTGCTGCTATTGGCACTGCCCACACCTGGTGTGTGTCCACAACTGGTATGTGTAAACGCAGGTATGTTGTAAACAGCCTGTTTCACTTGATTAATGGAGATTATGCATGATCGCTATTTTATGCTGAGACAGGAAGGGGTTCTATCATAAGAAATTCAACACTTAATTTTTTTCCCCTTTTGGAGCCTGTGTCTCTCTTTGTCCAGTAATAAAACTGGCAGTCACAGTGTCGGTCTGGGCGATGTTACATATCGATGCGAAGAATGGAACGTACCGAACGAGAAGGAAACCCATCGCAATGCAGAAGAGCAGGGCTTGAAACACGAATGCCAGGAACCATGTGTGTGGCATGCACTGCGAATCAATTCGAAACACATATGGTTACCGAAAGAACAGCACGGCTTTCGCATTTCATTTCAAGGATCATTCGAGGGAAGGTTGCTCGCCTGCGTTTTGGTAGGGAAGAAGTTGTTGATGAAAAGCACGTTCCACATCCAGCCGCCTTCGCACTGTGACAGGTACCTCTGACTCTCGATGGTCCACGTGGGGCCCGTACCCGCGCTTGGGAATTTGGCATTGATTACCAGCAGAAGGATCATGTACATGGGCAGCAGCCTGCGCATAGAGTGAATGAGTGAAGGACGGTATTCAATGTCGTAAAGAAACACCAACAAAAGACCTACGCCGGTAAAAAAAAAAAAAAACCTGCTTTATTTTACGTGATTGCGCCAAATGTGCATACTTACAGAGAAAGCACGATTATGTAGTTGCATGCCGATTTGCATAAAAAAGACAAAACGAAATCGCGTAAAATTTTATTGTACTTTACAGTGTACAATGAACGGTAGTGTAGAGATATTTTTTTTCCTCGAGAGAAGACACATACGCACAGCCTTAGTGCTCTTGTTAATTTAAGTTATTTCACTATTTTTTGCGTTGCATTTTCCTATGGTGAAACAATATGTTAATTCTATTAAACTAAAACAACCATGCACATTGTTTTATTTCGACAATTACCTTATTAACAAAGTCATCGCACTTCTTTTTTATTTTAAGACATGTAACAATGAATTAGTTTTGGTTATCGTCATTTGTGTGCGATGTGTCATATCTGCGTGTATATGTCATTAGTAACTAAAGGCTCATCACTTGCGCTACAGGGTGTTATGCATCCACCAATACCAGCGTGATTGATGTGCCTTCTGTAGTTCATTTGTCATGCTATTCAATAAGGTATACACACGTGAATAGATTTGTCACCTTGTTGCAAACAGCTCTTATCTGATCGCTTTAAAAACGGTTAAAAACGTTTTCCAGCTTCGCTCTCCTACCAAAAATACACAAACGCTACAGTTCTTCGTCATACCCAGACGGTAGGCCCCGCATAAGCTGTAAAGTCATTCAAGGAGGACGTTCCTCTCCCCACCTTCGTGACAAAGTTCATAAGGCGTACGTACCCAGCGAAGAAGTATTTCATAGCATTGAGCGTACACTTGATGTACGTCAGTGCCCTGCATTTCTCAAAGCCATCGCAGCGTTTCACCAGCTGGACAATGTTATAGGTGATTGTGATGCCTCTGAGAAAAAAATGACGTGCCGGTAAATTAATAAATAAAAACAATCGCGAGTACTTAATGTTTTTTTTTTTCAGAGGTGACGTCCAGATCACTCACAGGGCAGTAGCAATGGCGTCCACAGCCAAGGAGCTGTTGAGAGCGAACTGGATCATGGGGTCGTTCAGATACTCTCTCAAGGACTTGAGATTAGCTGAAGAAAGATGAAAGTATAGAAGTCAAGATCAATATTTTTATTTTGTACCGCTTCGTATGTTCTTTTATTTTTCCAATATTTTGTTTGTGCGAAAACGGTTCTCGTTTATTTTTTTTCGTAACTCTCGCGTTTTGGAGGCGAAAGGGCATGTGAGCGGGATTATGTTGCGTTCGAGCAAGAACTTCGATGAGCAAGAAAAACTCTGAGGAATTCAAAGAACTTGCTCGCTTATTCATTTTCAGCGAAGTTTGTACCGGGCTGTGACAATTATTAGCCTGCAACATCGTGGAAACGCAAAGAAGCGCCCAGTTTCCCAGGAGCGACTATATGGGTGAAAGCGTATCGGCTATCGTAGACTGGTGAGAAGGCAAGTTTTGGCTGTCGGTTTCCTACGAGAATAAGTTTGGCTGTTTGTAACTGGCTTGCTTACTGCAGCCCCGAGTTAGCGGGTTAATCTCTCATCAGAAATGACATCGCCGCAATGAGTCTGGTGGACAGGAAAGATTATTGAACATTGCGTTCAGATATGGAACCATCATCCGGCATGAGGGATTTAGACACCTGCAAAGCAAGCATGGCGAATCGTTTTATGCCACAGTTCGGCCATGATGGCTATACAGTTCGGCTTTCGTGGTTAAGAAGTGAACGAATAAACTTTAAAGGGGTACCCCGGCAGTTTTCTGAGCTACCCAAGCAAATTGCCTTTTCTGACCACCCGGACATTAGTCTTTTCTTATTTATTTATTCAATATACTCTTCAGTGCCCAAAGGCATTACAGAAAAAAAGGGGGGGGGGGGGCATACAGTTTGTTGTTTTCTCGAAATTCAAAATAGCAATTGAAAAACTGTAAATGATTGATTTTAAAACGTTTATTCGTCGAAAAGAGCTTGGTGCTGAGAGATCGCGTTAAGTGGTCGGGATGATGATGAAGATGCTGCCGAAACCAAGATTCAAATTTACGCGCTCTCTCCAGTGGTGCGACGTCACAAATGGTACAGACTTTCAGGTCGCGCAAGTAGTCTTAAACAAGGTATGTCGACGTTTTTTGCGTGCTTCTCAGTGAATTAGCTACCAAGCATTTTGTTCCCACCATCAAGCGTCTTGTAATCAGACGGGAACATGGCTTACTGCCCACCTATAGTACCATTTTTGTCGTCACACTTCAATGTTGCTGGTAGGGGCTCCCGGTTTGAGAAACACGATGAAGACGAAATTCTAAAATTAGATAACTTCGCGGGATGTTTTTTTTTTTTTTTTCACACGATACTTGGGTAACTGGTACAGCCGTGTCTATTGGTGTGTTGAGCCGATTTCGAGGCAAATCAGCGACCATAAAAAAATTGCCGGATTAAATACAGACTATTTTGTAGCAATGACAGTGCTAGAGGAACGCAATATGCACTGGCTCTCTTTGCAGCATTGAAGACGTCGACCCCGAAATAGATTCAAGTCATGGAATCGCTCAAATACGACTCGCAATGTAAATAATGCGCTATTTTTTTTTTTTTTTTCTGCAGCAAACATTGCGTTTTTGTACGATGTACAAGTAGTGTGATTTTTAGCTCGAATGGCCCGAGCGAATATCGGCCAGCTGCGCTCCAACTCACCGGAGAGGTTGTATGGCCTGAGCACCAGGGTGTTGCCGATTACGACCCAGAGAAAGCTCATGCTCGAGATGCCCACCAGGGGCCGGAGCGTCTTGCTCGGGTGGCGGCCACTCATGAGCAGGCGGAAGTTCCGGTACGCCGAGAAGCATCGCAGCGTCTCCACGTACGAGTTCTGAGACACTGCGGATGGCAAGTGAGGGGACCTATGATTACCCCGAGCAATCTATACCCAGAGCGCAAGTTCGTCCGCTTCCTTTGCATGGGTTGTGGTGACGCCAGAACGCCGAGCTCCGATCGGCTCTGATTGAAGGATAGTGGTTAGACCTCGAGGCAGCTTGCTCTGATGTCTACCCACTATCCTTCAATCAGAGCCAATCAGAGATCGGTGTTCTGAAGTTACCACAACCAATGCAAAAGAAGCAGATGAACTTGCGCTCCATAAAGTCTTCTATGGTGACAATTTTTTTTACCTCTGATGAACAATATAGTAAAAAAACAATGTGATAAAATATCTTTTTCATATCATTTATATACTGTAGCTACTTCTCCACATGATCACTACAGAGATTTAGGCACTCATCATGACTTGCCACAAGCTTTTGGATGTCCTCCTTAAAATCAAAATCACTTTTTTTTAATTATCCGAAACGATTGAAAACGATGCCGGGACATTACCCTTAAAATTCAAAACTTGGAAATTCAGTATTTGTGAAGTAAAAAAACAATTTCCAAATGCCAAATTTGAAGTTCCCGCGCGATCCGCGCCAGTCCAGTGACGTCACATTTTGCGGTCTCCTGTAAGTCGACTTTCTCTCGGACCTCCGCTCCACGCCACAAAGCAAAGCGCCGTTGCCATCGCGACCCGAAGCGAGGAGGAGGTGTGGAGCGGGATAGAAAGGGCGCCGGTGGACCGGGACAAAATCGGTTTCTTCGCCCGGTCCCCCGCCTCACCGATCATCCTCTGCTCGAGCGCCGCCAAGTTTTCCGAGGGAGGATACAAATCCAAGAAGCAACATCACACCGAAATCTGATTTTTAATATTTCAAAAAGAGGGGCCGTAGTGACATGTTTTACGATTGCCGTTATTAAATGTTATAGAAATGTCGCCTACATAGCTTCTAAATTTCATCATTTTTGACGTCACCAATCCAAAGAAGCGAAGAGGTGAGCAGCGGGAGAAGAAAAAAGCCAAAAATAAAAAAACGCGCGCGCGCGCGATTTTTTTTTTTCGCGATGCGTTTTTTTTTTTTTTTTTTTTGCGCGTCTATGGGTACAATTTGCATCGTTTTAGACAATAAAACCAAATACGACCTTTGGGGTGTCAGTGCCCCTTAAAGGAGGTTGCCGCCCGGGTTCTTTGTCGTTCCAACGCGCGTCAAAGAGATCGTCAGTTGCCACATCCATTTTTTCCTGACCCCCATTATCCTGGACGTATGTCATCCATTTCAAAATCTTCATGCAGTTTCCTCCGTACACATTACGCGTCTTTGACGTGTAATGTGTACCATAGCGTACCATAGTGATTTTTAAAAAAATCACAGCTTGTTCGTGAAGACGTCCGTGCCCAAAGTATTTGGGTGCAAGACTGAAGGCGCAGGGCATGTACTCACTGATGTCAAATGACTGGAGCTTGGGGAGATCCCGACTGGAAAGTTCTCTGTCGACTAGCAGGAGGAAGGCGGTGTCTGCGAGGGTCCCTAGCAGCACCAGCACCACCAGGACGCCCACGACGATGCTGTCCAGGCAAACATAAAGCGCGAGAAGTTTGAATCGCTGCGTCGTTGAATTCGAAGTGCTCCTGCTGCCGTTCCATGTCTCCGACGCACAGGTTGTTTCAGCGAAGTCTTTCAAGAATACTTAAAATACGGTAATTGCAATAAAAAAAAAAGGAACTCTCTTTGGGAACAAATTGGCAGCTACAACAGACGCCAAAAATTGCAAAAAAAAAAACAACCTTTGTATTAGTAAATAATTAACTAGAATGTACTAATTGACCTTTCAATTTGTGAAAATAAATATATGGTGCAAATGAAAAACGTGCTAAGCATCTTAGAAAACAAAAAAAAAGTCTACTAAATCAACTGTGCAATAAAAAAAAAAGGAACTCTCTTTGGGAACAAATTGGCAGCTACAACAGACGCCAAAAATTGCAAAAAAAAAACAACCTTTGTATTAGTAAATAATTAACTAGAATGTACTAATTGACCTTTCAATTTGTGAAAATAAATATATGGTGCAAATGAAAAACGTGCTAAGCATCTTAGAAAAAAAAAAAAAGTCTACTAAATCAACTAATTTGAGAACAGAACGTAAGGGCACAAGTGAGCTGGTGCATATCAAACATTTTAGTGAAAAGCCCGAGACGGAGCTATTGATCGACAGACGACGACAAGGAAGATAAGATCCCCAGACAGAACACAAAGTCCTGAGGATATCCCCATAATATCCCGATGTCCCGGCCGGGAGGAACTAATTCTGGGGATATCCCTGGGACTGCAATCCTCAGGATATCCTGTAGCGGGCATGTGTGGGAGATCATGTTACATGTCATCGTCCTGGGGACATCCGTCGGATTATGCACCCCAGTATATCCTGTCCGGGAAGAGATCGTAAGATTCCCCTGCTGATTCAACCAGTAGAATACGAAACTAAACCCACAGAAATTTAAATATATATAAATAATTAAATAATTTTAACTGTTATCTTATTATTATAAATGTACTTTAATATCATTTTTAATGATTATAGAGCTTCAAATTGAATACGAAATCTTGGCGGTACTAGTATCGGCTATAGGCAATTTAGCGCGTGCGCAGTTTGTACGGTTTGACCATTCGGCGCGATTCCGTAGTCCATCAGAAGAAACAAGAACTCGTTTTCGTCTTGAAATCAGCAAGGCTGACAGGTAAGCACACTTTTTCTTACTTTATAAGTTCCGCAGTGTCACATAAACTGTTCCTGAACGCTTCGTGCGTAACCCTGTGATCGATCTTGATCGCGGTTTTTTTGAGTGATCCGGACGCATTGTTTGGTTGTGGTAGTTACAGGTGCGGTCGCGCGCTGTCATGCCTAAGCACAAGACATCCCGGACGTTTCGGCGGAAACTACGGGAAAGTGTGGAAATGATACGGTTGGCAGGCACGGCCGTCGATTTGGTGTGCGATTCCGGCCCCGCAGTTTACTGTTAGGCTGCGGTAGCGGGCGAGTCAGACGGGCCGTCCGGCAGTGAGGGGCCCAGCTCCGGCGTACGTTTTTCTGCTGCCACCGAACGCGACGCAGAAAGTCAGGAAACAGTCTTGAACACCAGTCCTTCCTCATAAGCTAATGTCAGATGAGGTGGCAGTTGAATTTAGCTTTCAGGGAGGCAAAGGGAAGAGGAAGTTTTGTAACCTTCGGAGCTGGACAGTTCTGCTTGGTATGTAACTTTGCTGACTTCTCACAATAGAGGCTTGCAACCGACAGAGTCATTTGGTGGTGAACACTGCAAACCTGTCTATACTAGTTTGGGCACCGAATGTACTAAAATTTGTCACAGTTACAGCAAAAGCTAATCGACTGGAAAATTTAACTCAATCTGAACATTTCCTCTTCCGATAAATTTATGCAGGGACTGTGAACTAGTGAGCTTGCACACTTTCCTGCATCAACGGGTATTAATATTTTAGGCATAGTTGACAAAGAATAATATTTCTTTGGGGTGATGCTACTTACAACAGCACATATGCAAGCATGAGTGTGGTGTGATAAATAGCACAAAAAGTTGGTTATGATTGATATTTAACTTGTTAAGCTTCCCATTTAACTGTTGAATCTCAACATGATCAGCCCATTGCCAAAATATGCCATAACAGTTGTTGGGCTTTGTTGACTAAATTTGACTTCACACTATTGAGTGGTGTACTCAAACCTTCAGGAGTTCAAAATATTAACCCCTCAAGTGCCCTGGACGAGCTGAGCTCATCGGCCAGTTTCTGGCTAAAACTGTTATGGACGAGCTCAGCTCGTCCAGTGGTTTTTTCGGTCGCCCTCAATTCCACGGACGAGCTAGGCTCTCCGAGTAGTTTTGCAGTGCTGATCATAGATGGCAGCACTCGTTTTAGTTGGCAAATATTTTTTTTCGCCTCCGCTGATTTTTGCGTAATAAACTTTTCACATTTTCTGTGTATTACTAGAGGAATTCAACCCGTTCAATTCAATTAATTCAACCAGTTCAATTCAACCAATTCAAGATAAAAAAAAGATATGACACTTTTAGGTTACTTTTGGAAAAAAATTTTGGCAGTTTGGCGCCAACTACAAATTCGTTTTGCGCCCTAAATATAGCTCTAAATTTTTTTCTTCTTTGTAAATTCGTTTTATAATATTTTTCCATCTAGCCTGTTTAAAAAAAAAAAGTTTTTTTCCTTTGCATGGTGTCCTCCAAGGGGTTAAAACTAAGAAGCCTGATAATCACAACATCTCGACCTAAGGAGTCGTCGGTGGCTACTGCAGCAGGAGGCGTCGAGATACGCTAGCTACCTGCAGCAGCACATTATTTCTTGATCCCATGCTCGCAGTAAAGCCGAGTTACACTGACATCATAGATATTCAGGTCTTTTCGAATTTTTTTGCCCAGTGGTTTTTAGACAACCCAAGTTTGCTGGATGCAGAGTGGATCTTTATAAAATAATACTTTTATTGCCTATCTTGGTGGCTGCCCATGCTTCGTTTCATACTTAATGCACAACGCTGTCAAGGCTACTGGCGCAAGCGTCTGGCTTGATCTTGCACTTTCGTGCGCCCTTGCATAAGTGGGATGCTAGATGAAGCCACACGCTTGTGCCAGTACCGTTGCATTGAAGTATGAAATGGAGTATAAGAATTAATGATTGGAATGCGCCAACCAATGTTAAGTTGCTTTGAATCCTGGAAAAATACACTGTGCATTTGGTTACTTATTTAAGAAAACAGCTGGCTTCCGCGCACTACTTCAGCTTTGGAACACGCTTGCATTCTTTATTGTTCCAGAATGTGTGCTCACCAGTAAGGGCCTTGGGGCGACTGAGTACAAGGTGGAGAAGTCACTGAAGTCATGGCTGGCCCATGCGAAGGAACAAATGGAGAAGCGACAGCCAGAAGGGTAGGGGTGGGGCTGCTAATTCGACTGCAAGGTTCTAGTCATTTTTAAATACTGGGCGTCTTAAAAGAAAGGTTAACTCTAAAACGACTTGTAAAAATCAACGATTTGATGTATCGAGAGAAATTTTCTAAAATATGTTGTTTACTGGTCAAATTATTTAATTGTATTTGAAGTTTTAATTCTGACTTGAAGGAACTTAAAATAAATTCATTACTTTTTCAAAAACTTGGTGGCAGTTGTTGGTAACAGTTCCTACAACGACATTGTTTGCTTGCCTTTTGCAGGGAAGGCACCACCAGTCCAACAAGCGCCACGCACTTGTGTTTCTAACTTTGTGTTCCTGCGGGAGATACCTGTCAGAATTAAGTTCTTCGTGTGCCTGTCTAACCTAATTGAAAACTCATGCCAAGAACTTAATTCTGACAATTATCTCCTTCTGAAACATTAAGTGAAAACAACGCATTAGGTACTTATCGGACTGGTAGGGCCATCTCTGTAAAGGGTAAGCAAACATGGCCATTTTTTTTAACTGTTCGCGAGAGCTACCGCTAAGTCCTTGAAAATATCATTTTATAACTTTAATTTCCTTCATAGTCATAGTTGAAACTTGCAAATTTTAATGGAAATATCTAACCAGTAAACAACATATTAGAGGAAATGTTCTATGCAATACATAAAATCACTAATTTTTGCAAGCCATTTCAGGGTACAACTTTGGTTTTGACGCCTGGTATATTATGTTATATTTTTATTTTTGGAACGTTAAGCAAACATTTATTAGAGAAATCTTGTTCTGATAATAAAGTATTCAATGCTTTTGATGCTAACATGTGCCCATGTCTTTACTGAACTGCTTTCTTCGAGCTCAGCCCTGCAGGTTGGCTCAGATACCTCACTCGCATGAAATTTTATTGTTGCCAAGCTCATAGTCACTGTGGAAGATGTCCTTAGGTAAAAACACAGCTGGCAAACTGCGCAGCCGAGTTCTATTGGTACAGACCTGACTTGCAGCTGACAGCTCTGTGATCCAGGCCACTGCCTACAGCGTCGAGTGCCAGCCAGTCAATGCAATGGAGATAATATATTACCATAGTCTGGCCAGCACGTGACGAGGTTGGCACGCTGTATGTTGGAGCTGCCTGTAAGGCCCCATGTATACACCTACAGTGTACAGACGGCAACCCGTAGGGTCTGGTACGAAGATCCCAGGTATAAACGTAGGAAATGCTGACAACACCCATAGGGATATGTTGAGAATATACTGGGGACCAGAAAAGTGGACCAAATGAATATCCCACAAACGTCCTAGGGAAGTACATCTCCCACCACGAATATTCTGGGGATATCCCAAGGACAACCCGGATCTGGTACGAAGATCCCAGGTATAAACGTAGGAAATGCTGACAACACCCATAGGGATATGTTGAGAATATACTGGGGACCAGAAAAGTGGACCAAATGAATATCCCACGAACGTCCTAGGGAAGTACATCTCCCACCACGAATATTCTGGGGATATCCCAAGGACAACCCGGATCTGGTACGGAGATCCCACGGATAAACGTAGGAAATACTGACAACGTCCCAGAGAAAATTCTGGGGATATACTGGGGACCAGAAAAGTGGGCCAAATGGATATCCCACGGACATCCTGGGGAAATATATCTCCCACCACAATTATTCTGGGGATATCCCAACTTCCGAGAGGGATATTCTGAGGAGGTCCTCAGAATATGCATGTTCTGTCTGGGGAACGTCTCAAATGAGACCTCCTCCTTCTCTTCCTTGTCGTAGTCTGTCAGTACCTCCGTCTCGGGCTTTTCACTAAAATGTTTAACTTTAGAAAGTTAAAAATAACATTTTACGGCCTCCCAAAAAAAAAAAAAAAAAAAAAAAAAAAAACTTGCTAAATTTGGAAGTGTTTCTAGGTTTCGGTTTCTTATCGGAGCGCATCTCCGATAAGAAACGCTAAATTCCGACGTGCAAACGCGTCATAATTTAGCGTTTGGAATACATTTTGGCATACAAAACACAAGGACGAGAATCAGACACCAGAACACCACAGTGCGCACTGTGGTGTCTGATTCTCGTCCTTGTGTCCTTGTGTTTTGAGCGCTAAAATGTGTTCCAAGTTCCAAAACCAACGAGCCCAACAGTCTACTCTACTGAAGTTTTTCGGAACGCCGTTAAAAACTGCCCCTGCCTTATATGATTTTATATCTTTCTAAAATGAGTTATTATAGGGGTTTTCAGTGAGGCTTGACAAATTTCCCATGGGAACCATGTTTTTTTGTTTTCCCTAATTGAAAAGTTAATTAGTAAGCTTCAGTTAATTGTTTCGCTAATTAGTATTTTTTTTTTTAATTCCTGCTGTTCGCCGTGGCTGTCAATTTGTTCTAAAAAAGCGATTTTTTTTTCTTCAGTTACGTTATAGTTCTAGGCATTTCTGAAAGCCTTATCTGAAACACCCTGTATATTCCGTGTCCCGAATCTGTTCATTTTCTTTTACCAACGGAATGCATTTTTCCGTCTGAGATGAAATAAATGGTTGACCGCGTAGCAGTTGAACTGCACTGGTTAAATTTCTCAACTACAGCGGGTAACAATGTCGCCCGCCACGTTCTTGCAGACTAAACTCCCGGTGTCTAAACAACTAACGACTAATTTGCTTGTTCTTGGTTGACCGGAGCTTGTGCCGATTCAACTAGAAATGGGTCGTTACGCATCTAGAAGTAGTGCGGTACAGCGCATTTTCCCAATACCTCAATTTTACGCGAAAACGTAAAATGCAATTTTTATTTTTTTATTTTTTTTTATTACCAAGAAGTACGTTTGAATTTTTCAGATAAGAACGATTGATACAAAATTCAGTTGTCCCGGCTCCAACGTGAGCTGTTTTGGTGAGCAAGGCGCACTATCAAGGACAGCGAACTGATGTTAGTAGCAGCTCAACCCGAATCACACCCAGCAGTCTCAGCTAAGAAGCTTAGAAAGCTGGGCTAAGAAGCTTAGAAGAGCTTTCGCAAACTGTTGTCCTTTTTCGATTACCGTAGTGCCTACGACGAAAGGAGACCCCCCTGCATTTAGGCTGGGGTTTCATAGAAATAAATGCCAAGAAAAGTGTAACGCACAATTTTAACGCGCAATTCCCACGCTAAATAAATTTTTGAGAAAACCTGAATTTGTGTTTAGGCATACATCAATTCAATTTTCACGCTAAATCTATCGGGGAACACATAAACATCTGCTGAACTAAAAAAAAAAAAAGAGAGAAAGGACTCTAACCAGATTTTGTGCTCCTTAGCTTCCTCACAGACATCAAACACCCCGACTTTTTATTTTGGCTGAAGGTACGAGCTCTGCGTAATTTTCTAAGCACATATGCATGTGAACCGCAGACGTTTGAAACGTTACGCGGGGAGAACCGCAGAGATCATCGGTCCCTTGCGTGATTTGTTCGGAAGCATGACACTCCACCTTGATCAATACTTTTTTTCTTTTTTTTCTCGCTCAAATTCGTTGAAGTATTGTGCTAAGCACGGGCCGGATTGCTTTAGACGACGTGAGGAATGCCTTCGAAAGCAGGAACTCACAGTGCGGCCAGTACCGTGGCGGACTGCTCGTGGCTCTTGAGGCTGTCCTTGGTGACGCAGTCCACCACTTCAATGCCCAGTTTTACGTTGGGAGGCTTGGCCCCCAGCGTGCGCAGCAAGAAGAGCGCTGGTGAGAAAAGAGAACAGCAGTTAATTACAGAGAAAAAAAAAACCGTTTTGTTAATTGTGTGTTTGAACAGAGTGTTTGGCCCTGGGTGATTGCCAAACCCGCTGTTCAACATACAACGATACAACGATTGCGGATTCAGTAGCTTTTTTTCTAATGCAAATTGCCCTTTTCAATCTGTCCGTATAATTCTTGTAACACACACACATGCACACACACACAAAATAGGATAAAATGAGAATTTCCTGGGCAACGAGTGCGCGCTGGTCATGATAAGATATCCGTACGGCTGTAATTGATTAATTTCCGATAGAAATTTTGACTGACCTGTATATCTACCGTTCCGCGTAGAGTCTGGGGCGATGTTTGAGTACGCCATCTAAAATCTATCAAACAACATCTATTCTTTCCACCCTTACAAAAAATAATTGAAAGAGTGGTATTAACACAACAACATTATGTGTTCTTTCTGAACATAATTAAGGGTTCTCTGACTCTCAGTATGGCAATGTTGGGAGCAAATCCACAAATTTATCAATATTGAACATGGCTGAAAAAAATAAAAATATTGGTATATCTAATAAAAATGAGAAAATACCGAAAAAAATGTAATTCACATTCTTTTTATTTTTTATTTTTTACAAAAATGTGAAAGTTGCGCCAATGTGGTTTGTACGGGTAGGACATTAGATACGGCGATAATCGTCCCGATAAGTTGAATAACTAACTGAAATCCGTCCATTCACTTTTTAATAAATGGTTAATTTGATAATGTTGCAATTGCAGTATTGACAGTACTTACTATTAAAGGCTGAACCAGTTTAAACATGTTGAGGAAAGGCAACATGCTTTCAGATATTCATCGATCTGTTTTCGCATTTTTTTCGCGTAAATCCGCAACTCGACGCGGAAAGCCGTGAGCCTTTTTAGAATTTTGCGGAGAATAGTGGCGGCATTCGTTTCTGGACCCTTGCCAATATTTCCGTCCGCGGATCCACCAAGGACGCTCTGCCGAGATAGAGACGACGCGACTGAAACGACTACGTCACTCTTCTAAGCGTCACAGTGGGTGAGACTTCCGGCGCGCTTTCTGCATCCGGACTCGGTATCGTTCGACAAGAATGCGAAACCTGGGGGGCTATGTTCGACAAATGTTTCGTTTTCCCTAAAAAAGAAACGGAAATGACGGAAGTGACGATATCGCGTCTGATTGGTTAGAGGCTCAAATGACGAAAGAGGAAACTTTCGTCATTTGAGCCTTTAACCAATCAGACGCAATATCGTCACTTCCGTTTTTTTTTTCTTTTTTATGAGAAACGAAACATTTGTCGATTATAGCCCCCCAGGTCGACGAATTTCTAAAAGCCCGTTGCCTTTTCGCAAAATGTTAAGAACCCCTGTCAGACGGGCATGCATGCTGAAGATCTTCAGAACGAACTCCTTTAAAGAATCGGCCAATCAGCTCGCGATCTCACCCTTATCGGCGAGCGCTGGTTCGCCAACCCTTTAAAGGAGTTCGTTCTGAATTCCTTTAACGTGCCCGTCTGACAGGGGTATACATTGATGCAGCCCCTAACAATGACTAACTTTGAAACAGCAATCACAACAAGGCCCGCCTAACCACTAATCCAAAACTTAAAGGGGCCGTGCAAGAACATTGGGTAGGAATTCGAACAGATTTCTGTTCGAATTCGAATTCGACAGAAATCCAGACAGATTTCTATCGAAGCTGTTTACTTTCAATTGGGTAGGAATGTTTCTCACTTTACATTAGCTTATTGGCACTAGCCAGTGGGACCCCATAATACTCGTAGGCAACGCCACTGACCGAGAAGCGTCTTCGTCGCGGTGGAATTCCAAGGATAAAAGCGGACATTTCCTTTCAGTCTCTCCTTCGCGAAATTTGATGATGGAGCTGGGGAGACAACGCTGACATCGGGATCCCTGCAGGAGTCCGTCATCGAACTTCGCTATCCCCGCTGTGACGATATTCAAATGCTGCTCCTACAGTGCACTCGAAGACTGCGTAGGCATTCGATTCTGGCTCGGGACAGTCAATGCCTCGACATGCATTCGGGTAGCAGATCGTGTCCAATCGATGGCGGGAATGGCCGAACCTTACAATACTCAGCGCGCGCCCTGTGCTCTGCCAAGCCCAACGCGTGGCTTTGTTAGAAACATTGGAGGCATGGAATGGGCTCCAGATCACGTGCCCGCTTTTTCTGGCCGCTAGTTTGTAGTATTTAAATTTTTCCATTTTAGTAATTGCCACACTAACCAGATGGCGCCACTGACCGCCACACCATATCGCTGTAGCCAGGCGGCGCTACACTTCATCCATTGGGCCGTGCGCCCAGGTGGATCTCCCCCGGGGCGGTTGGCCCCCGGGTTGTTTCCCTCTAAATAAAAGAGTGCGTGTTCTGACCTCGGCCGATGTAGACGTCCCTTCCTTCCGGGTCGTTCCCGCCTCGGACCCGCCGGTGTTCGCCGCCCCACCTCGGCATGTGAGACAACATCTTCCAGCAGGCCGCCTCGGCGCTGCTTCTTTTCCTTTCTTTTTTTTATTTATTGGGCTCTCCGAATCACAACAGAGTTGAAAGGGTAAACGGTGTTCGTTTTTCTCGGATTTTTTCTGGACTACCTTGCGTCGAGAAAAAACAACAACAATAACGTGTGTTTCATAGGAAATGCCAGTGAATCATTCCAAGGCATATTTATTGAAAGCACACACACAAAAAAAGAAAGACTTTTACCATTGTCTGTAATGCGAAACTAGAGCACAGCTCTTGAGGAGAAGGAGGGGAGGGTACGCAGGAAAGGGTATGCCCCTCCTCCTTCTTCTCCCTCCCTCCCCCTCCTTTCTTCCTGATCTCCTGCCACTGAATTTGTTCATTGGGGACGTGACACGAAGTAGTGACATCCTTTTCCCTGCTAAGTTTAGCGGGGAAACTGAATTGGTGTTACGGTCAGTGACGTCAATTTTCCCGCTAAATATAGCGGGAACATTTCCCCGCTAACTTTAGAGGGGAAACGTCCCATAATGCAAGGCGCGCGGTTACGCCGACGCCGCTCTAAAAGATCGCGACCCGAAAACGGGCGCCTAAGAGCTGCGCTCTAAAAGTGTTGCATCGCCCCTTTAATTACAAGTATGTGCGTCAATTGCCCGCATCATCGTGACAGTCATCCCCCATCTAATGTTCATCTGACCGTTTTTTCTCACCTGTACAAACCGCTCTATAGTGTAATTTTGTGGCATTTTAAAGAAAACCTCTAAAGGCTCGTTCACGCAGTTGCGTCGACAGCGTCGCGCTGCGTTGCGTCGTGCCACACAGTGCCTTCCCATTGGCTCGTCGTAAGGGTCACCATAGCAACAGCTCGACGCAAGCAGTCTTAACACGACGCAAGTGGTTGCAGACAAATAACAAAACCATATTGCGAATAGGCACCAGTATGTTAGCCATTTTGTTAAAACACCTGAGACTGGGTGTGAAAAAACTTGAAACAACCAAAAGTAGAAGAGACAGGTAAAATGGTAAACTTGCACCAGCTCGCCTGCGCCCTCACTGCGTTTTAGTATGTTAGCACTGCAGGGCCCGGGGCGATCATTCGTTAATAACTAACAATGGCGTCCTTCACGGGCTCTGTTCTCGGTGCCTTCACGTTTCATATTAAAGATCTACCTGCCCGTTTAAACAAGGGGCTCGGTTTTTATGCAAATGAAGCTAACATTTGTGTTTGAAGTTGATTTGACTACAAGCGTCGCGCGTGCACTGTGCTCTGACAGATAGGCAGACGCTGATTGGCCAACCAGGTAACGTGATTCGATAGAAATGACGTTAAAGTTTTACCGTGTAACAGAGGTGCAAGGTGTCGTTTGCCTCAGTGTGCAATCGGCAAATAGATATTCACCCTTTTTGCTCTGAGGCGAACAACACATTTGAAGCGCTAAGGGGGGCTTACATGGAATAAGCTTATGCCCAACATAATTACGAGCATTTTAGTTTTACTTTTTTTTAATGAAAAATACGTTAGTTTGAGACAACCAGAACTTGTATTCAACAGGATATGATTAAAGAGAGGTTGCCGCACTAAACTTTTTGACATAATCTCGGATATTTTTTTCACCTTTGTGCTGAGAACCCGACTATACAAAAATCTATACAGATATGGCGTTTTGTTTTTTCAACATACAAAATATATATATTTTCTTGAAAACTCTTCAATGTTTCATTTATTCTCACACCTTGTATGAAGCTCCGTTCTATGGAATTAATACTTGAATTAGCTTCGAAGCATGTACATACATTGTAAAACGCTGCAGTTGAATAAAGGATACTTTGTGATTCAAGAGAGAATGTCAGCCGGCGATACAGATTAGCTAAACATACTAAATTCCATATCTATCTTTTCATAATGTATTATTGACCCCCGCTTGTAAGAAAACTTACTTTTATTACTTTTACTTTTTCTTGACAATGTGTATCTGCGAGTTTTTTAATTCTGCTCATTTTAAATATTAGCCAAAGATCTTTTTTTGTTCGTGTTTTCGAATATTGGAGTGTTTCTCCAACTTGAACAATTACTTTTTTGGTCCAACTCAAGCTTTAGTTAAACTTCAGACGCACTAATATATGATCATATGTACTAATGCTTTCCTTTTGTGAGCTCCTTATGCAAATTGTGAAACTTCGACTGCTGCTGATGCTTTTCTTTGGATAACTTCTTTCGTTCGTAGCCAACGAATCGCGCTTTGAATTGGACTTGAGTTGGGCAAGCGCTTGCGCAAATTTTCTTTGAAACCGTGTCGCTGCGAGAGCAAGGCGAAGACGGCAGACAGGTACGAATACAGTAGACATTTCATATTGCGTTAAATACAGAGCGCGGATCTTATAGAACAAAAGATTGAGCGGAATCGTAGCACAGTGCACCGTAATTTTAGTGAACACTTTCTTTCGCTCTAGTGTATTCCTACCGACTGGCGAATCAGAGGACGGGCCAATCCGCCATCGTTTAGATCTTCCGGTTCTTTCTGCTACGCCGTTCAAAAACATTTTTTTTTTTTTTTTTGTGCACGTTTTTGGGCAGATGTGGGCAGCGGCGTAGACTTTTCATTCTCCCGCAAGGGGGGGGGGGGAGGGGGGGGGGGGGGCAGCCAGCAGGCGGAGAAGTTCTCCGGCGGGGGAGAGTGCACGTTACCTTCTCGTCAGAACTGGAGATTGAAGCTAACGAAAGCACGCTGGGATTCCATGTCCCATGTTTTTTTGTCAATAAACGCAACGTGGGCGTTATTTTGTTTACATGCCACTACTAGAAGCTCGTTACATGGCACGTAAACAGCGTCTCGGTAAGGATCATGGCGCAAGCCCGGGGGGCACGAGCCCCGATGAACCCCCCCCCCCCCCCCCCCCCTCGCCCCCGAAGTCTACGTCTGCAGATGTGGGTAAGTTTCAGACTCATGACACTTGCATCTCATCACCATCGTCTCTCATCTACGAAACAAGATGTTCTGACCAGCCGGAAGTTGGCAAACGCCGCTCACCCATCCCTGCATCCCAATACATTCGATCGACACACTGTCATCGTTGAAAAACAAAATGCCCTGGGCTCTACAGATTGCTCATTTCACAAAGCCAGTGATCTCGAGCCGTGCTGTCCCCCTTTTCACGAAACGGACTCGTACGCGTCCCCAATCGAACTCTTGACGGCTCAACGGTTTCGCAACAAGCGTACGGGCGCGAACAACGCAAATTTGGGTTGCACGATAGTCGATCCGCGTGACATGCATCACTGTCTTACATCTAGCCCTAAACACTTGTGATCCTTTCGCTTTCAAATTCTTTGTTTTCTTTAACCTTCCGGGGCGAAACCGGTTGCGCGCCCGTGCCGCGTTGTCTTCTTGCACCATGTCTTCCCATCTGTCTTCTGGCGTGTGTGGCGTAACACTGTTCGGTCCGTTTGGCAGATGACTGAGAGGCCGGCGCTCACCTCCTTTGCCGACGGCCTTGAGGGATTTCACCGTGCACGCCGACGGGAGGCAGAGGCCCAGGAATCCAGGGAACTCCTCCAGAAGCTCGGCGACGTCTTTCAGCTCACCCTTCTGCGCAGACGACGAAAAGGGTTCGCCTCGTATAGAGGCGCGCAGTGTAAGCTCATGATCACGAAGCAAATAGCGTAGAGCCGTAATCACAATGAACTGCTATGCCACTAGTTGTGGAACTTTCAGTCACTTTAGTCATCTTGCTGATTGAAAGTATGCTTGACGATTATGCACAGCTTTTACTGAAACGTTTTTTTTTCCGTCCTGAAATTCCAAGAAAGTCAGCAAGAGAGACAAACGATATAGCCTTCATGACAACGTGTTTAAAGCTCAAGAAATTACATTTTCGAATCGTAACGATCGGCGAATGTTCTGCACTCAGCGCCAAACTCCCACAAGATAATCGGACATAGGAGCGCCGATACTCAAAAGCATCGCTTGTTCAGTGACTCTGGTTGCCACGAATAAAGAACACGCAGAAGACGATTGCGAACATCCATAGCCCACACCTCAAATTTACATTGTTATCAAGCGGCCGCACGCGTGGGAACGTCAACCGCGAGTCATGTTCACGACGGCACGTCCGACCGTTCGCACGACGCATGGAAGGATGGCCATGATCGGCGCCATGTCAAAATGTTTCGTTTGTACAAGCGCTCGCCCAAAAACCTTTTTCGGTGGCTGCGAGGTGATTGGGTCTTGGGAATGTTTTTACGCAGAGAGGCCAATCTGCCCATCGAGTCTGGCAACACCGGCTCAATGCTGTAGAGCAGGAGTTTTCAAACGTTTCTATCTTGAGGAAACGTTATCTCTTTTCATAGGTAACCAGTAACCCCTTCTGGTCTCGGCGAGGATGAAATAAAACATTGCAGAGTAGTACACACCTTGTAAACAATAACACCCAACTAAGGAGCGATAGGCACGTAGTCGTGGATCAGTGGATGGTTTAGATCCTTCAAGATTGTGCTTAAATTGGAAGAGTGCACTTTACTTAGAGGGAGGGAGGGTCCAAAAACATTTGGGAGCTCGCAGAACCCCTGAGGGTACTCTGGCGAACCCCGGTGTTTTTAGGAACCTGTTTTGAGAACCCATGCTCTGGAGAGACATATCGAAATTCCCACTGCCAGTTTCCATATGAACGGGATTGTATCGCCATGAGGTCGTCTTCACCGAAAAAAAAAAAAAAAAAAAAAAAAAAAAAACCCTACTAACAGGGTGTTTGAGAAAACAGAAACGTTTTTCGGGAACAAAATGCCGGTCATGGCTGACATCAGGGATCGCAACAAAACACACTAACAATAAAAATAATCACCCTAAACTTGCTAATTAACGTTTTAATTAGTAAAAATAAACATTTAGTTGAATGCTGGCTGGTAGCACTCTTTTCGGCCCATCGTAAGGTAAGACGAAGTATCGCCACTGTCGTGATGCACGTTAAAGGCCCCCGGGTTCGTTGGTTGTATCGCACCCGTGCCTTCTACAACGCCGAACATAACTAGAATACACCGATCTCACTAAGCATTCCACGCACGCACTCTTGACGCCGCCACAACTGTAATTCATAGGAGGCAGGCGCCAGTTGTCGAGCCAGCTCGTGCCGTCTCGTGCCCTACTCGCGCGAACCCTCAGCGGGCGGGGTAGTCGCGCATGCAGAAAGACTGCAGGCATACTGCAGGAAACTAACTGCGAGGGGGGATCGGTGGCCGAGTGGGCTAGCGCACACCAGCTCGGAGCACGTGGAGCGAAATGTTCGCGCTGCAGAACCTGCAGGGATCCTGGGCTCAATCCCCACCCCTGCCCGTTTCGATCTGGATGAGCATCGTACCGGCGTGCGGTCGGTTGTACTGCACTGGCTAAATTGCTCATCTACAGCTGGGAGACTCGTCGCCCGTGGAGGCAGGCCATAGGCTGTATAAACATAAACACAACCCAATTTTTTTTTTTTTTTTTTTTAACTGCGAGATCGGTCTATTCAGAAGCAAGGTTTGAAAATGTCCTAACTGGATTATATAGCTCCGTACGTGTTCAAAATAATCTGCATTAAAATGGATACACCTGCACCAACGCAATGAAAGCTGATCAATTTCGATAAAAGCCGGTATGCTTCTAAAGTTGACAAAATCTTTAAAGGGGTCTTCGACCAAAACCTTGCTTTTTAAAATTTTTGTCATACAAACTTTGATCTTTAAAGAAATAAAACAAAAATATTAATAAAACAGGAACTGCAAGATCTGAAGAGTATTAGGGATTGGCTGGAGCTTCAAGACCCCAGTTATTCAGTTTCTGTAAAGGGATCCGTGGAACGTGCGGGTGCGCATGCCTTAATTGTGGCGCGGAAGAATTCGATCGTTTCAATTAAACATATTTCTGTTGATTTCTACTGAATTCTCTAAGTTCAGATTGCATTGTTGCTTTAATGGTTTCACCAAGTTGCAGAGGAAACGAAAGTAGACAATTTAGACGGCATGATCGGCCAGCCTCAGTCTAGGGAATAGTTTTGAAACTCGTCAGGTAATAAGCACCGTAAAGAAAATTTCCTATTACAATAAAGATTATATATTTTTCATCACACGTCACAATTCGGTTTAAGAGACAGGTCGTGAAAGTGCTTTGTAAGGTGCAAAACCCGAAGGTTAGAACGAACGGCTTCCAAGATTTCATCAACTCTAAAAATCCCAACTTAAAAAAAAAAAAAAAAAAAGTTACGAAGTTTAATGATGTTTCCGAAGATCCATCGCCACTATAATAAAGCAAATTGGAATAAATAAGTTGACTTACAGTCAAGTTTTTGAACTCGAATTATTGGCTTTAATTCTGCCGAAAATGTGCGAGTTACCAAAGCATATTTTCTTCTGCTTAGTATCTATTTAACACTCTCAAGTTTTACACTACTCAGTAGCGTCAGATGTTTTTCAAAGTTTCTGTATTGGACGACCGTGGCATTTCAAAACCAGCAAATCTAAGTTAAAAAAAAAAGATGGAGCTTGTTTTGTATTTGCAAGCATCGCAAAGTCGAGTTTGAGAAAAAGAGCATGCGCATGGTGGAAGCTATTTGAGTGAAGTAAACTTTCGGTAAGGCACGGTACAAATTGATATACATTTATGCGTCGGCGCAGTTCCAGGCGTACCAGGGGTTTCCCCATGATTCTAATCAAGGGGGGGGGGGGGGGGTGTCCCAATGGCTCGGGGTGCGGAGGCGATGCGAGGCGAGGCTAGATAAAAATATAAAACTGTTTCTTTTTTAGTCCACTAGCTAAATTACAGACGTCTATTAACCAAATGCTCATACCCGTAATGTATGTTTCCCTTTCTCTATATATACACCTGAGAGGTGGTGTTTTCTACTTAATCTGAAAAAAAAAAAGAATTTTATTTTATTTTTTTATTTTTAGATTCAAGGGGGGAGGGGTGTCCAGGAAAACTAGGGGGGGGGGGGGGGTCTCAGCCCCCCCCCCCCCCCCCTAGGGGGGTCTAAGGAAATTCCTGAGGTGTACCGACTGGTAAGGAGTAAGTGCTTGCTCGAAGGATATCTGGGCCATGTGCGCATGCGTATCGTCCAACGTTCGGTCTCCGCTCGACTGTATAGTTAAATAGTAACTGGGATGAAATGCCAATGTTTCAGAAATTAGCGTTATCCGATTAAAAAGATATGACTTATAAGCAATTTTCAAAACATTTTCAATGAGAAACTGGGGCCCGCATTTTCTAGAGCAGCCGCTATTCACCCTTATATTGACGGGCTCCACTTGGTCACCCTTCTGTGGCTGATATATGAGAAAAGCGTTTATAACGTTGTATTCGGGCAATACGAGATCCCAAAACTTTGGAATCTAATTCCCGTTGCAAGAACTTTAATTTGGGTAGACACTGAGCGCTGGGCGATGCGTAGATTATGTTTGAAGCGAAAACATGAAAGCCGTTTACAAATGCCTGTAACGCCGAATTAGAGCGCAGCTCTTGAGTAGAAGGATGGAAGGGTACTGAGGGGAGGGTATACCCCTCCTCCCTCCTCCTCACCTCGTCATTCTGCGTGACCTCCGGGGGTCACGCTACCTTAGGGAGGGGGGGGGGGGGGAGGGGGTCACTTGACCTCAGGGGGTGGGGTAACGTGACCTCACGGTTACGCCGACGCCGCTCAAGCCGGAAGCCGGCGCCTAACAGATGCGCTCTAAAAACATAGTTCGTATTTGTCTGAAAAACCCTGCATATTATACACACAATAAACGTTTAGCTTCAAAAACGACACCGGCGCTTTTTGAAGTGTTAATTTTACGGCCTAGCATTAAACAACAAAGTTTGGTGGCGTGTGTGCGCACATTACAGTGGATAAGTGGTTCTAATAGCCTTCTTTCATCCTTATTAAAAAGTAATAAAAAAAAAAAAGGGGGAATATTGGTGATTGCGTGGTCGGGCTTGCTGCGCAAGCCACGCGGGGCACGAGGCATCGTTTAGAGACCGCTTCGAATGCACGACTCGATAATTACGACATTCCACAAAGCAACGAACCCGCGCCGATGTTTCTCACGACTATTCGATAATCACTGCTTCAACTTAGGATGGACCGTAGCGAACGCTACGAGCCATCACAGCCGATCCGACGATGCGAGCGTATCACGTGAGAACGCGCCCCGCGCGTCGCTGCGCCCTTCCGGCAGATCACGTGACCTTCAAAGGGGCCATTGGGTTGGCTCCGATGGCTCGTGGGATTCGCTGCGGTTCGCCATAAGGTCAAACGGAGGTTAGCGGTCTCGGCAGTAGAGAGTTTTAGGGAACCGTTTTGGCACATCCGATACGGGACAATAGGGAGTTTTCGTAGATCGTTTTCGCCGTCCCGCAAGGCCCTCCGCAACCCGCTACGATAACGGCAACTCCATAGTCAAGACTATCGGCGGGCAGGCGCAGTAGCAACTTCTTCGTTGCGGAACGCTTAGCGGAGGGGGCAGCGCGGTCTGCGAAAACCCTCTATTGGGCCCTTCGGTACGAACGACGTACATTCGGGTCCTCTGCGCACGCGCAGTTCGTACTGGAGGGCCCATCGTAGCGTACCGGATGTGCAAAAA